GTGTATATTTTAAAATTTATTTAAGAAAAGCACGTAAAAAATTTTCAGTCGCTGTTTTTAAGGCTTTTGACTAATAATTAAGTACAGATCCGTCAATATTTTAATATTCCTGCTCGAAAATGTCTAAGCTTAAAATATGTAAAAAATTAACTTACTAAATGCTGACCCATATGCTGGTAGCTGGGCCATAAATAGGTACGGTATGTAAGTATTGAAGATGTGGTATCACTGAAACCACGAGTTGTGGTCTGTCTTCGCTGGTGGCTTACACCCTTGATTTGTTTAGTACCCCGTGTCTTTGGAGGGCAGATTGTCATCATACATTCGCATTACAAAGAATATAATCATAACCAACCTTTATTCATACTATATTTAACTGAAGGAGAGCGAAACTACTTTTTTAAAAGGTTTGTGTAATTCTTTGTATTATCAATGTTCTTTTGTCACGGGTCATGTCTAGTGACAAGGTCCGTACTCTGTCCTATCAGAAAACTCAATTTTCAGTGATGTTAATCGAGTCTTGTATTTTTTTTAGACGGGGCTGTCAGAGAAATAACTAATAGTTTTAAATTAGTTTTAATGAGGCGGCGCTTGTTTAAAAATTAGCGAATTTTATATAAAGTGAAAGTTTTAGGACACGCATTACTTTTATAAATGCCAGTTTTTTGTTGCGTGTGTGACATGACAGTATTTTCCAACCTACTTAACACTGTATACACAATTACTATTTCAGATACAAGATTTTAGCAGCACTGATTTATACATTAAATATATAATTAATTTTTAATATTCCCAGTCGTAAATAACACAAAATCCCCCATAGTTGGCGAAACCAAAGCCATTTACACCAGCTGCGATACCAAATATTCTGTTAGTGGGATGGTTTGTGAAGGACCTGCCTAGAATGGGCCAACAGGCCTGCTGTAGTGTTCCTTCTTTCTTATGTTCTTGAATCCTTTACACCACCTGTCTGAATTTTGTTCGCAGAATCTCCACAGCAAATGTTGTCAATGGCAAAGGAAGTAATTTTCAGTGTGACCCGTTCTTTGTTAATCTGTGGAAGCGGGGATTTTATGGAAATAATGCTAGCTACCAAGTGACTGGATAATACCGTAAATATTTCCTTCCTCGGGGACCTTTCGTAGCGCTGGAGTTTTCCCTGGTTAGAAGGGCATCGGGTTATTTCATACATGTACACAAAGCCTGCAGCATAAATGTCTTTAATTATCTTTCTCTCAGGACGTAAAGTCAGCGATAATATAAGCAGCATAGCAATACCTCTTTACTATGCTCTTCTCAAACAGATATCTAGATAATATTAAAAAAAAAAAGGAACGGTTGGAGTTTAAACCCATGGCGAGTGTCTTAAAACGACTTCTGTGAGATACGATTTCGTGAGTTGAGAAAATAGTAGTTAACCCATCATCATGATATTGTCCACAGCAGACAGCTCCTATATGAACTTTGTCTTGTGCTTTCAGCCCCTCATTTACAGTCGAAATGAACTTGCCACCGCCCACACCACCATTACTACTATTAACCCACACTACCATAACCCGCTATAAACATCCACTTTACTAAAGTCACCACCACCACCACCATCTAAACAGCATGAGCAGGTTAAGCATATCGCCAACAACAATGACAGGAATATCATAATCGTACCACCGACAGTAACAATTATACCACCTGTTAGTGTAATCATGCTAACAACGGCAATAACAACCATAACACTAATGAAAGCAAAATACCACCAATATTAAAAGTATATCAACAACGACTATAAGAAACTACGACAGTGATAACGAAAATAGCAATTATATCATCAACAATAAAAATCGGAACAACGTTATATAACCAACTGTAACAGTTATAGAGCCAACATTAACTGCACTAACAATATTATCATAAAACCAGTGACACTAACAACATAATCGTATGGCAATAATAATAAAATACCAACCCTCTAGGTAGGTGCTTTGTTTCCCGTAAGGAGTTCTTGATCCAATGAATTGAACCTGTACTCCCTTTGAACATGATTCCCCCAAGGCTCTGTATGGCTTAAGAATTTAGCGTTCTTCTCATAAATGTATTAATAGACATCGTTAATAACTTTGTACCACTAACGAAAATAGCAATATTGTACAAAACAACGACAATAACATATAACAACAGAGACGACACAACATTCCACTAACCACTACTACAGTCCAGAAAACAACTTCAGAGGGATTTACAGAGAACCTTCAGCAGATTGAGTTTGAAATCCTTGTTATTACATAGGGCATTTAAATTTTCGTTTGGCTTCATAAAGTCCAGTATATATTTACAGTCCTATGCAGTTTCACAATAAATAAATGCAAATATTTAAATGACTGAATAAGTTTGAATAATTATATGAATCCTTGGAAATAATGTTCATTTACATATTCATAATATATCATATAAAATCTCATGAAGATTTAGAATTAGTGAATTTAAAAAAAAAAATTGTTAAATA